CTAAGCGTCCTAAGAAAGGAGAGGGGAGAGAGACCCACAGAGACAGGGTCCAGGGACAGTGGAAGGGCCTGGGGCTGCCATCTGGGAGCCAGCTCCAGACCCCTGCCCCCAGGGGCTGTAGGGGCTGAGACAGACAGACATCCTTCAGACACACAGACAGAGGAGACAAGGAAGGGGTGTCAGAGCCAAAGAGTCCAGATAGACTGACAGGGAAGGGGGGCAGGGACAAGAGAGGGACAAGGACACAAAGAGAGGAACGAGAAGGGAGAGGGCAGGGCAGAGGAGAGGAGAGAAAAAGAAAGAAGGAAAAGGGAAGAGAAGAGAAGGAAAGGGAAAGAAGGGAGAGGAGAACAGAGCTTTTGGGCCACAGCACCAGGAGCCTTTGAAGCTGCAGGCGGTGTCCCCAGGGCCAGGGGTCAGGCCAGGTCACCAGCATCGTCGTGGGCAGGCCCGCAGCATGAATGGCCCCGCACTCCTGAGGAGAAATGCTAGCAAACGGGGCCTGGAGAAGCTGCTGAGGTAGGTCCCTCCCGGCCCAGGCACAGTGCCCGCGGTACCCTTGCCGACAGTGGTACCCCCACATCCAGACTGGTAGATATGTGGCCCACAGGCTGTGCTGGACTGCCTATTGCACGTGTTACAAGAGGATACTGAAGTCCAGCACGAAGCCATCATCTTAGCCAGCCAGGCAACTTCGCCTCTTCCTCCCATAGCTCCCTGTGTGTCCCCAGGACCCACAGACAATGCATCCTCAGAATAGTATCCCTGCCCCTGGGAACTAACGAGTGACAATCCCCCCTCTTCTCTTTACAAATGAGATTGGACTCACAGCCATAGGCCCCAGAAACCACTGGCCTGACAGTCCTGGGACTGGGAGGCACTGGAACCATCTGGCCACTGAACCTCAGGCCTTTGAGAGTCCTCACCCAGTCTGTTTTCTCCTATGTAAAGTATGTGTGAGAGAATAGACAAGAGCAGGCCCAGGTTCTGCAAATCTCAGGCACTTCCAATGATTAACTGCTTACTGCTGCCTTCTTAGCTACCTGCTGTGCCCTTCCTCTTCCTCCCTCTTCCAGCTTTCAAGCTCTGCTGCAGTGCCACCTCCTCCGGGAAGCCTGTCATGGTCTCCCTAACCAGGAAGGCTGGGCTCCTCTGCTCATCTGGTGGCCTTGTTCTCTGGCCCACTTCCATAGCTGTTTAAACCTCATGTTCCTGGAGGGTGGGTCTGGTATTGTTTCATATGTCAATGTGTTTTGGTCCTGGCTCTCAGTGGTGAGATAGGGCACAGATGGGGTGGTGGACAGATGCCAGGAGATGGCTACCTCCAAGTCCTGGCACTATCATGGTCCCAGCTGGCAATCAAGGTCTAGCACCAGGGTCTAAGCTGGCCTGTTGGTCACTCTCCACTCTAGCTCTCAGCCAATTCCATATTTTTGCCCCATGCCAGTCTCTCAGGCTCAGGCTCAGCCCAGCCTGCTCAGGGTCCTCATACATGACCACCTCACTCAGGCTAGATATCCCTATCCTGTCCAGGCTGGGACGTACCCTCCTTTGTCACTATCCCTCATGGTGCCCAGTGTCTGGTGAATTTAGGAGCACCTTTGATCAATCTTATCAACTCACCTGTATCATGTGACAAAGAGGAAACTGATCCTAGCAACCTGGTGGCTGTGGGGTGACAGGAAGAGCTGCAAGACCCAGCACCAGGCTGACATCCTACTAACCCAGAGGCAGGGCAATGGGGCCATGAAAGGTATAGACAAGGCAAGACCTTGGGCAAGGGTTAGGGTTGGCACATTCAAAGTTTTGAGCTGAAGAAAGGTGGGAAGAGACCCAGAGACCAAGGCCTACAATGGTTAGCCAGTGGGCAGGACAGGAGGGCAGGTCCCTGGGAGGTCTTAGGAACTCCGATGAAGAGGGAGAGTAGGTCCTTTGTGGGTGAAGATGGAACAGGTCCACATGTATGACATGGGGTGATGCTCGGGGTGGATATTTGCTAAACTGTGCATCTTTGGGAGCCTGGCCCTGCAATGGAACACACCTTTCATGTGCACTGAGTACACACATATGGGCAGACATGTGCATGCTACCATCTAGTACTATGACACACTCCACCCCTGACCCCATCGTGCCCTCTGTCCACATGTCTACAGCATCCAACACTGATTACTTTGCCCAGCCCTGGAGGACAGGTCTCCACCTTGTCTCTTTTGGACAGATGAGGAAAGTAGGCTCAGAGAGGTCAAGTGAGTTGCTCAAGGTCACCCAGCAGGTGACCTTCCTCCTATCGTTCACTGCCTTTGCCTAGATCCTTCCCCAGGAACCCAAGGCTTTCTCACCTCACTTTCTCACCACACATGGTAGCAGAGCCCTGCCAGTCTCCTCTCTGACAAGCTTTAGAGAGGTTGCTGTGTGCCAGCAGAGGCCAAGAGGCAAACTGAATCCAGTGTAAATTCATAAAAAACAATTTTATGGACTAGTAGGAAAATAGATGGCATGCCCCTGAAACTCTCCTAGTCTGAGCCTGGGTGTGAATTAAGGGCTTAACATACTGCTGGCCAGACCCCAGGCTTACTCCTACTCCCTTGTGCTAGGAGTTTGGGTACCCACTTCCTGCCTCAGGGGAGCCAGAGTCCTCCCAGGTCCACCATAGCTCAGGCCAGGGTAAAGGATGGTCACCTGGGCTCTCAGCTGGATACCTGGTTCTTCAGTCCTCAGAGGCCTAGATTTAAGAGCAGCTGGGCTGAGGTAGGAGTACCTTGGGTTGATGCTGGCCTAAGAGAACTGAGCCAGGAGTCACCTTGGCAGGCATCACCAACCAAGCCTCCCTTAGGTGGTGTTAGCCTGTCTCATCAGTCCCAGCACCCATCCGCAGATAGCATGACATCAGTCTATGGCTCCCCTGAGATATAAGACTTTTCAGGAAGGCTCCCACCTACATGTGGTCTGCTAGACCTCTAGGGATCCCAGTGTGGCAGAGGGTAGCAGATGGGACTGGCAGTCTGCTGGGTGGCCCAGTGGGGGGGTAGGGGAAGCCAGGCCTCCAACCACAGTGTCCAGGGAGGCGTGGCTCCATGGGCCCATTGGAGGCCGAGATCCCGAGGGTGGGGTGGCCCCACCCTGGCAGGCCGGGTGGCCGGTGGGCGGCACCCCCGCGGGCCGGGTGGTCTGTCTGCCAGAGCCTGTCCTGCCTGGAGCCTGGCCGAGCCAGCAGCAGGGGGTATAGGGACCAAGTGGCCCAGCCCCCTGGGCAGGGTGTCAGGGCCAGAGCCCAGAGGACTGAGGTTCCGGTTCCAGTCCCAGCCGGTGCGTCAGAGCTGGGTAGATCAGGCGGCAAGCAGCAACCAGGGCGCCAAGGCACCCAGAGACTCACCCGCCCCATGCTTCTGCTGGAGTCAGGAGGGGACACCCTAGGGTCCTTGGGACCCTCGGGATAGCTGCAGGGGCACAGTCCCCAGGGACACTGCTACAGGCTCAGAGCATCTCTCAGAGAACAATGCCAGGATGGACCACCAGGTTTTCCAGAGCACAGGTGGGCACATGGGCTGCAGGTGGGCAAGTGGCTGCAGGTAGGTATAGGGGCTTCAGGTGGTATCTGGGGTTAAAACACATTAGGTGGTTCCATGGGCTGAGAAAGGTTCTCAGGCTCTGGTACCAAGTGAGACCAGATCTGGCCCTCAGCCCATAGATCTGGCTGTGCAGGTTGCTGTCCCAAAGAACAGGAATGTAGCTATGAAGGTCTGCTACTATCCACCAGGGCAGGAGACATGCTAAGGCCAGCTGGTGATGGCACTCAGGGAGATGGAGGGCCTGACCTGGAGATGCTGGTGTCAGGGAAGTCATACATTGGATGCTCCTGAGGGCTTCGAAAGTCCCGTGAGAGCATTTGTCCACCCTACAAGGTAGGAAAGGAGAAATGCAAGAAAGAACAAAGAGGTAGGACAAGAACAAGATGCACGGGCACGGGGGGGGGGGTGTCCTAGCCAGAATTGAAGGGAGGGTACCTTCTCTGCTGTCCTCACTTGGCTGACTGGGCAGGGAGTGGTTGGTATTAAAAGGGAAGGATGAAGGTGGTTGTGGGAAGAAGCTTGCAAACCAGCAAGAGCAGTGTAAAGAACAGATGGGAAGATCTGTAGTAATGAGGGGCCAGTGTCCTCCTGAACCAGCATCCCCTGACCTGGGTCCTGTCCCTCAACTCCTGTTGCTGCCTTGTCTCCTTACATTTAGTTCTTTTAGGGTGGGGGGCGGCGGTCGCCCTGTCATGCATTGACCATAGAGGTCCCCCAGGTCTAGGATGCTGCCCTTCTCTCAGCATATGTGATGGGAATACTGTGAGAACCAAATATGGCTGTTCAGTTTAGCTCTAGGTGTTGGCCAGGAAGTGGGCTCAGGGACCAGTGCAGGCCCCACCGGCCTCATCTGATGTGACACCCATAGGGATGTGTGAGTCTCTTGCAACCCATGGAGACTTGCCCTTTCCTACTTTGTGCAGCTGAGAATGCAGAAGCTGGGTTCAGCTTCAATGACCATCCATTCTCAGACTGAAGCTTGAAACAGGCCAACCTGGGATAGACCCCTTCCTCTCCCCAGCACCCCAGGAATAATCAGTCCCTGAGGGCTGGGTAGCACTGAGAGCTCAGATGTGGCTACAGGGCCAGGCAGGGTGTTCTTGGATCACAGAGCAGATAAAATACTGCAAGCAATCAATAGGTACCCATCTCTTCGGCACTTGGGGAGCAGGGAAATTGAGGCACATGGGGGACTCAGGACCAGGCATAGGATGATGGGTTTGGGGAGTAACTTGGCTACATAATGTCACCTGCCATGCATCTGTCCAGGTGGCAGACAAGTTAGACAATGTGTAAACCTGTGACCAGATGAAGGACGAGGCATTTGAGCAGCATCCATTAAGAGAGCCAAAGACAGGCCTTTGGGGGGAGTGGATCTGGGAACAACCAGCCAGGGAGGAAAGAGGAGGGGATGGCAGAGTCTCAAACCAGTGCCAGCCATCATCGCATGTCAGTGAGTATGCCAGAGCCTTGCCTCCTAAGCCCTGTGAGCATTCTGCCAGGGCTGTCTGCTACTGCGAGCCACAGTCTCTCTAAGCCTAGTTCCCATTGGGAGCTTGGTGATGAATGGGCTGGCGAGAAGACATCTCTAAGCAGCAGAGTGTGGGCACCAGGGAAGTCTCATGGCTGCTGTGCAGTTGGTTCTAGCCCCTGTGGCAATTCTGGTCAGTGACATGGAGGATAGAGTGTGCAGAGCCAGTGAAGGGAGAAAGCAAGCTCAGGCCAGCACAAGCCGCTGTCATGACAAGATGCAACAGATGGGAGGTCTAAGCCCTGATGTCCACTTGTAGGCTCTGAGAGTCAGGTGGGCCAGAGATGTTTGAGTTGGGAGTCCCGAATGAGGAAGCTGCCAGCAATGGGCTGACCAGGAAGTACTCATAAGAGGTAGGGTCCCAGACCCAGGGAAAGGGAGGGGCTTATCAGTGGGACAACCAGCTTAGTTCTAGACCG